CCCCCACCTCCCCCCCCCCCCACCCTGCCAAGCCTATTCACCAGGAGAAACACTCAGCCCGACTCTGTACACACTAGGAAGCTCCAGGGTAGGTTGAAGTGTAAAATCTCCTCTGTGTGTGGTGTAGCTATGTGCTGCCCCAGATACAGGATTGTTTAGCCTCCAGTGTTTAAACAAAGCTCTTTTTTCACAGTTAACTAGTGTTCTCTAGACCTATAGTGGTGTCAGACATTTCTCCGCTGGAAGTCAGCCTGTCCGTGTCTCACAACTATTTCTAGGTTCCTTTTTTAAAACCTGTTTTTGTTTCAGATTTGTCACCCCCCTCCCTACTCACTGTGTTCCACTGGCATCTGGGCTGGTAACAAATGAAGCACCACCGAATGCTGGTGACTGGCACCCTGAAAGGCCATGACACTGAAGAGTGTACCAGTGTATTGATGGGTGCTTCATCAGTGGCTGGCTTACTTCCAGCTTTGACTTCACATTTAGCAAGGTAAGCCCAATAGTCTCTGAGTAAGCATTTCATTGAAAACTCAATGTTACATGTGGCCTAGACAAAAAGGCTGTCAAACATAATCGCCAAGAAGGGGTGAGGTGGGCAAACGGAACACAAAACAACCAATTGCACTGTTCAAAAATGAAAATCTACTGGCTTTTTGTTGACTAATTGCTAATAATTTATGCCTTTAAACCACAGGGACATATCCTCAGCTGATGTAAACTAGCGCAGCTCTGTTGAAATCAACGGTGCTATTACATTGATTGACACCGGCTGGCATAGTATGTAAGTGAAAGAAGATGGGGCAAAATCCTGCCTCAGACTCACTCATTCCTGTGCTGTGGAAAGACCAAAGCACAGCAGCCCCACTGTGGGGGTGAGAAGAAATGGAATTTGGACAGGTCAGTGGAGATGTGTGGGCATGGCCAGTGTGCCTGACAGGGTTTGTCTGTGCTGCATTGTAAACCCTGGGCTATGGGACCTGGGCTTGCAGACTCTGTGTTGTCAAGCCTGTGTTTGAGCTCCCATACTGCATGGTAAACCTGGGTTTACAATTGCTGGACCCAGGTCTCACAGCCGCATTCACATGTCCATACTGCACAATGCAGACTGTCTGACTCAGTCTGTGGCTTGAGCTGCATCCACACTGCAAAATGATAGGGCTTGGACCTGAGTCTCAGCGGACTTGGGCTCTGACCCATTTCCCCAGCAGGGTTATAGGACCTGGGTGCTTACAGACTCAAGTCAGAATGATGGAAGCAGCCAGGGGTTGGGCTCAAACCTGAATCAGAGTCAGGATAAGTGTGCAGTGTAGACATACCCTGAGCCATGCATCAGTCCTGTGGGAGTGATGTCACTGGCTTCAGTCACTACCACCTAGTATCTGCAATGTAACTATGGGGAAGCTCCAAGCACAGTCTCGTGCCCCCTTCCAACCACCATTTCTTCACATCACCTATGAGACAGACGTTGGGCAAGTGTCATGACTGTCACCCATGAGGATCTGGTAATGAACTCAGACCAAGTTCTTTCATCTGTATCTATTCAGGTAATGGTACTGCATCCATGATGGTATACACACATTCCTGTATGACACGGAGAACAAAGCTAACCAGTGAATCAAGTAGATTTATAGCACTCGAAAGCCATGTTGTAATGAAGCTTATACTAAAATATGTAACAGTAATTGGATTTATTAAATTTTAGAAGAAAACAAATGAAATAAATGAGTCAATCCTGCTATAAGGCTATTTTTAGTATTCATATGTGTGTTTCAGTGCCTCTCGGTTACTGAGTATGATACTGTGAAGAGTTTGTAGGGCTGGGGCAATTTTATTTTTCTAGGGGGAGGAGGAAATGGTGGGTGGAGGTTTTGCTGAGCCTCCTATTCCTCCCACTCCATCTTTAATTACCAATGCCTTAAATAGACTTTCTGACTGAGGGGATAGAGGCAGCATGAATGCTGCTCTGAAGTTGGCCCACCGTGTTCACTCGAGGATGATGTGAGGGTCTTCCTTCTTCCCAGGAGAGAGGTAGGGCCTTCGTACCAACCAACATCCCTACTAGGTTGGGCGCTCAGGACCTCAGTGCCGATCCTACTGCAGAGCAAGCTGGGAATTTTCGATCTGAAGGATATGCCAACAGAAAATGCAAAAATTTTCCTTGGGAAAATTTCAGCTTTGCTGAAAAATGTCAATTGGACGTTGGGAAACATCAAAATGATGGCTCCACAGCTTGGGGCTTGGAAGGCTCTTGTCAATTTCACTGGTGTAATATTTTTAACTTAATCTTCTAACAATTTAATGAGGTAGGCTCCAAAAGCCATATTCAGGCATCTGCTTGATCTTAAAAAGTACAGCGCACTCAACAACTCACATTGCGGTTGTGTTTCTGACGTTTTGTCCTGATTTCGGATTTTTTTGTTTTAAATGTGACATTTTTATGGGAGGGAACTTTCCAGTTTCCAACTAGCTCTAGCCTACTATTTTGCAGCATGTTGAGCCATCACTATGCATTGACCATGTTAATTAAAGATAAAGGTTGGAATAAGATTTGCAAAAATGGGAGCCTACGGTTAGGCTCCCACATCCATGTTTAAATATATAGGCATCTCCCTCAAAAGTGCTGAGCACCCAACAGCTTCCATTGAGCTTAATATGAACTGTTGAGTGCTCAGTACTTTTGAATCAGGCAGGTGCCCGAATATGGATGTGGGAGCCTACCTCAGTGAATTATTAGCAAAGTAAATACAAATATTATATCATTTTAAAAACCTTTACACATCTAAGTGGTCAGGAATCCAAAATGGCCACTACTACGGAAATGTTGCAAAATTTGGCTTTTTGTAAGTGTTATTATTATTCACTTCAGGCCAGATCCTCAGCTGGTACCAATGTCCGTTGCTCTGCTGACTTCAGTGGAGTTACACTAATGTGAAGATCTGGATGGCTGTATCTTTTAAAGACATGAATTTTGAATTATCACTCCAATGTGGCTTTGAAACCATTAGCAATTTAGTAACTTTTCAATAAATCACATGTGAGTTACAGACATTGAGGGCTGTTGAATTTTAAAATGTCTATGTTGTATACAAACCTAGACACAAGAAAATAAATACTTTGTTGAAAATAACAAGCCTCGTACTATGTGTGATACTCTGACCTTTCTGCATATATGCATAACTAAGAGTATGCTGTAAGTTAAAATCAGGGCTTACTCTGTATGAACAGGAAGTCAGTACAATGAGTTTTCCCTTAAATGTTTATCTCTGTAAAACATGAAATGGGACTCAATGAAAAAAAAAGTTGCAAAGGCAGTCTTGAAACATTTTAAAAAACCTCATTAAATGTTCTTGAGGATTTGATATGCAGATCATGCAATTGCAATAAACATGTATATAAATTTCCCTAATGGACATGCATATAAAGAAAGTAAATGATTCTATAGGTAAGAATAACTTATGCTCCTGAAGTGGAGTACAGTAAGAGATTTTTAGAAAATAGCACAGGATCCAGTTGTGTGTTGCATGTAAAATGTTTGCAGCAAAACAGCATCCCTTTCTGAAGCTTCTACTTCAGATATGTGTGAGACGTGTGCCTGGAGAGAGACGCTCTCTTTGAAGTATGTCAGACTGCAGCAGAGCTTTGGCTAGGCATTTCAGCTTAGCTTACAATAATACACAAAGGCTGAAAACAGAGATTTGATACCAGAATTTAGCCCACTGTTTAAAAAGTGTCCTTGTATTTCAGCAATCTCTTCCTTGCACATTAGGGGCCACCTCACTGTCTGACCATTTGGGCCCTGTCATTTGTATTTGGATAAGTTCATCACTGTGTCCCTCATGCTCCAAAACAGGTCTTTGATTGTAAAGACAATGCACATACACACCGACACCACAGGTCTTTTCCTTACACACCTCATGCATTCACCTTGATATACATCTTCCCTGCCTTCTGCTGCTTGCATAGTTTTAGGACAGAACTGGTAAATTTTATTACACACAAGCAAAAAGTATGGCAAATACAGTATAGTACAAGCAGTGTGGGATGTATGGGGCAGATGGAGTGAAATTCATCCCTGTAGCAAGGGACAGCACGAGGCCATGGCACTGCTAAGAGCTTACAAATACCGATCAAATACAATAGGGGTGAAATTGTGCAGAAGGGCCATGGAGGTCTATGTATCACAGTAGGCCTGATTAAATATTATTTCAAAGTTTTAAACTGGGGCTTGAGTGGTACACCGAACTTATTTTGGCCTTCTGCACAAAGATAAAATTTCTCTTGGGAGAATTCCTTGAGTGGTTTGAAAAGGATATACTTTTGATAACAGCCTATCACAGTCACAGAAGCAGTAGATACACCTTATGCTGGCCCTCTGCACTGAGCTGGGTTTCACCCTTGCGAAGCATCTGTGCTATTCTGCAGAAACCCCACAAAATTGCTCTACAAACTGCATTATGGAGAATAAACAGACATTGCAAACATCCAATTTTCTGGCAGATTAGCCAACATCTCAGTTATCCATATAAGCAAGAGAATGGTGGAATGAATATTCTGCTGTTTGTGTATTGATAATTTATAGCCATTAAACTGAAATCCTGATCCCACTGAAGTCACTCACAGGGAGTTTTGCTATTGATTTCAATAGGGTCAGGATTTTACTCCCATGTTTTGATCCTTTGGCTCCACCTGTCATCTTTAGCAGGGTCTGTCTTCAGGCCCTGATTCTGTCTCAGTTTCCACTTCTTCCCATTTAATCAGACTTCACATCGCAGATGTTTTTTCCCCAATAACTCTCCTCTTTTCAAAAATCTGGGTTATTAACATAAATCTCAAAACAACGTATCTTCCACTCTCAGTGGTTTGAGCATTGGCCTGCTAAACCCAGGGTTGTCAGTTCAACCCTTCGGGGGCCAGTTAGGGATATGAGGCAAAAATTGGTTGGATGATTTAATTGGGGATTGGTCCTGCTTTGAGCAGGGGGTTGGACTAGATGACCTCTTGAGGTCCCTTCCAACCCTGATGTTCTATGATTCACCCTTCCTAACTGGCTCATACCTTTGATCCTGGATTCTTAGTTCGGTCCCTGCTGAGGCTTTCCTCCTAGCTGGTTCCTGCTCCTTGCAGACTTCTCTCCCAGGCCTTCCACCTAAGAGCTCTGGAGAGTTACTCAGCCTAGGCCTCCTCCCTAGCCCTTTCCTGACTTTCTTCCCACTCTTTGATGGACCACTCACTCCCAGATCTGTTCTTCTTAGAGTCTTCCCAGGACTACCCTTATCTGCCAGCAAGCCAGGTTTCTAGTCACATGATCCTGGTATTTTGGTCCCTCTACTGAGGAAGCAGCCTAACCCCTTAAAAGAGTCAGCTCACCGTGTGACAAAACATATTCCTCCAAGCATTGGTGTTTGGGTTCTGAAATTACACATGTACAATAAGTAGTGTTAATTTGCATTAGACCACCTTTTTTTATATATTTTCTTACTGTGTGAACGCATTACCAAATTGTGTTCTATGAATAAATCCTACCTGTGCGCATATTATAACAATTATATTCAACAATGAGTTATACATCAGCCGACCTGCTTCCTAATCAGAATGTTGAAGATACAGCTGATATGCTATCAAAAGTACATCATTTTCAAGCTATTCAGGGAATTCTTCCAGTGTATTTGATCAGTCTATTTAATTTGCCAGATCATAGGAGGCATTTATTTGTCTTTAAAGTTTTTTTAACTATAAGTATAAGAAAAAAGTATTGTTTAACAAAAAGAAAAAACATGTATTTGGATCCTGTAAATTAGCTAAGGTGACTATGGAGTAACAATTGTACACCTTGAAGTGATGTAACTTTAATAACCTTTTTAATCACCCACAAAGTCAATTATTGAAGGTTAAAATTAACCGGTGTGCAGTGGACACACATGGTCTATGCATAAATTGAGTATCAAAGCCCTCAAAATGGGACTGAAATTGTACGTAAGCTTTGTGTGAGCTCTCTGCACAAAGTTGAATTTAATACACTTTAAGGGGTGTTTTTTTGTTTTGTTTTTGCTTTAAATAACCACACTTTTCAGTCGCTGCAGTCCCTTTGGGCCAGATTGTACTCCCACTGAAGTTAATGGATTTTGCCATTGAATTCAAGGTCACTTTAAAAGTGAAACAAATCCCAAACAATTCTGACAGCAGATTAACAAAAAGGCCTGTAATCTACTAATGATGTCAAGATAACTGTATTCTGAAAGGCCTGAGCTACAAATACAAATCTACCCTACAAATCCACCCTAGAAAGAGTTCCCTTTGACTTGAATAGAAGTTCATCATGTGGAAGACTTGCAGGATCAAAATTTCCCCACAACAATGAGCTGTTCCATAACAGTCTTGAAATAAACTAAATTATTTTTGGTAGTTGTCTTTTTTCCTATCCTTCTCTCAGATAATCTTGTATAAAATTAAATATGCCAGAGGGCAAAGGGACATGCTCTATGAGGTTTAATCCAAAATCCTCATGTTTTTCTAGTTTTAAATATTGTGATTGATATCCAACAAGTAGAGTGAATTGTACACCACACAGGGAGAATGGGAATAACGTATTGCAATAGCCTTTGGTTAGCAATGCCATCTCATAGCACTTGCATTTCATTCCAGCAATTCCCAGCCGGGACATCATCAGAATCTCACCATATGCGGAGTCTTATAGCTCCATCCTCAGTTTCATTATTTCCATAGGCACTGACACACACACACTGCTGTTTGGATACTCTCGGGACATGTTACTGCACTTCCTAGGCATTTGGGGGAGGGAATGGTGGCCCGTCCCCTTACCGTGAACCATGTTATTGTCACCGTAAGGGGCCTGGGCAGTTCTGCAAGTTTTCATTGGAATCCTCAAAACTTGCTTCATAACAAATAGACCTACAGTGAGAAGGGGGGGGAGGGAGGGCCGAGAGGGGATGTGGGTTTCCCAATCACCCCTCTGCAAAACACTCCCCATCCCTTCCAGCGATTGCCCTTGGCTTGGGGCCCCTTTCTTGCTCTACTACTGCTAAAGAGCGAAGCAACTGGGTAACGTGTGAGAGGAGACCTGGGCTTCATCCCCAGCAGCAGCAAACTACAGACCTCTGCCTGCTAAGGAGCTGCAACGTACCAGCCAGCAGGAAAGACAGGCTCTTTCCCTGGCCCCGATCGGGGGGGGAGGGAGCAGTTCAAAGGCATGAACGAGGAGCTGGGCAGCCTAATCCCCCGCCCCCCGCTGGCTGGCCCCGGCTCTCCACTAACTCCGGCTCGGCAGCCGCCCAGTGCAAGGGCAACGTGCAGCTGCCCTGGGCTCACCCAGGCGGCGGCGGCTGCCGCGGCTGCGTTACTGGGAGAGACTGTGCCGCTGCGACAGGGGAGGACGAGGCTGGGAGCTGAAGGAGGCTCCGTGAGCATGCGCCGCCAGAGCCACTGACTATGTTCTCAGTCCAGGTATCAAGGCAAAAAAAAAAAGGCAAAAAAAAAACCCCACTAGCAATTTATAGCCAGCAGACGCTGTAGTGTGTGTGGCTCTCCAGCACCAACAGGTAGGAGGAGAGGGGCTGGGGGGAGCGTTGGGGGCACAGTGCTGGTGCAGCTGCAGGTTTTGGGGGAGGGGGAGAGATCTGCCTCCCCAAGGGTTGGTTGTTTTTTTTTTGTAAACTAAACTGCATAATGGAAGTGCCTACAGACAATGCATCTTCAGCTGGGCTCCGTCTGAGCTCCCCAGAGCTGGGCAGGCTTGGCAGGCTCAGGGCAAATGGGGCTGCAAAGCACCAGCAGCACCCAAGGCGCCCTTGCAACCCAGAAGCAAGTCTCTCCCAGCATCGCTGTGGATGTGTGTGCATGTATATCAAGCTGTGTGTAGAGCAGAGGGGATAAGGAGGGGAAAACGGGGAGGGGGGGATTTCATGGTTTTAAAACGTTGCCATGATCTGATCAGCCTCTGTTTACACAGCAGTAATCAGGCGCTTTGTGGATGGTAAGAATGGAAGAATTCTAGTGGAATTCAGTGTGAATCTCCTTTGTACACCCGAGGTGGCATAGGAAGCACTTCATGTGAATAACGGAGGAGCTTGATCATACTTGCAGTGGCTCTTGTCCCTGGGCTTTGGAAAAGCAGCAGGCAATTTTTGATTGTATTTTATTTTTTCTTTTGCATGAAATGTATTCAGTTGCAATTCACCCGGAGAATTAGTGTGAATCGTGGAGTCCTAATTGACTAAAAGATCTGTTCATTATACGTTTATTTAAGCACAGCCAAAGACAACCCTTTCAATGGAAGGGAATTATTTCTTGGGTGTGTTTCCTTTCTCTCCCTCCCCTTCAGTGTTTACGTTTACCAGGGTTTAATAATAATGTTGGGGCTTTAAAGATTTGTAATAATAAAAGGGGGGAGGCAGAAGAAAGGGGGGAAACCTTTAAAGCACAGTGCTGTTTTCTGTCTAACATCTGTGTTTATTTCAAAGCCTAAATGACAAAATCAGGGTTTACTGGGGGAAAATAATGAATACCATTTTCTTTTACAATGTGCATGAGCTAACACTGTGATTAATGTGCTTTGGTGACTTGGGTTAAAAAACATAAATTCTGCAGGGTTTCTTTGGGTATGATCCATATCAACACAGCAGCTGCCTCTAAAACATTGACAAATATGTAGAAGTAAAATAAATGTAGGTAATGTCCAAATATAAGTGGTCTTTTAGGATTTCTTTTAAGATACCAGTGATTATTTCCTAGAGTTCTGAACTGGGGATCATTTTATTCATAAAGCCTTTGAGGCATGACCTATGAAATTGTATATTCTACCAAATATAAGGTGTATACCAAATATGATATGTTTGGTCAGTTCAGGGCTGTAAACAAGCCAAATCTATGAAATTCCAAATAAGCCAAAATGCTATACAATAAGTGTGCAAGTCAGATAAAAAACGCCTCATGGTATATAAAAACAAATAGTACACAAATTTACAACTTCATTTGGGTCCCCATAAATTAACATCTTTGTTAGTACTTTCTAACATCATTACTTGTTAACTTAAGAACTGATAGCTCAATTTTTTTTTCAGATATTTTGATGGCATGACAAGTCAGAAAGAAGAAAAGAGGATGTACTGTATGACTAGACACAAGATCTGTTCTGTTTGTGGATTACATTTGCAGTAAGATGTATGGATCTATTTTTTCCTTGTTCTTATATATAGATCATAAGACTTGACTGTGGCAATATCCATATCATCCATCCATCTATGGCGAACTACAGCCATGCAGCTGACAACATTTTACAAAATCTCTCTCCTTTAACAGCCTTTCTGAAACTGACTTCACTTGGTTTCATAATAGGAGTCAGTGTGGTGGGTAACCTTCTGATCTCCATTTTGCTAGTCAAAGATAAGACCTTGCATAGAGCTCCTTACTACTTCCTGTTGGATCTTTGCTGCTCAGACATCCTCAGATCTGCTATTTGTTTCCCGTTTGTTTTCACCTCTGTAAAAAATGGCTCTACTTGGACGTATGGGACTCTTACTTGCAAAGTGATTGCCTTTTTGGGGGTTTTATCCTGCTTCCACACTGCTTTCATGCTGTTCTGCATAAGTGTCACCAGGTACTTAGCTATTGCCCACCACCGGTTTTATACAAAAAGGCTGACCTTCTGGACTTGTTTGGCAGTTATCTGTATGGTGTGGACCCTTTCTGTAGCTATGGCTTTCCCCCCAGTTTTAGACGTGGGCACCTACTCATTCATTAGGGAGGAAGACCAATGCACCTTTCAGCATCGTTCTTTCAGGGCCAATGATTCTTTGGGATTTATGCTTCTTCTTGCCCTTATACTCCTAGCCACACAGCTTGTCTACCTCAAGCTGATATTTTTCGTTCATGATCGCAGGAAAATGAAGCCAGTCCAGTTTGTTGCCGCGGTGAGCCAGAACTGGACTTTTCATGGCCCTGGAGCCAGTGGTCAAGCAGCAGCTAATTGGCTGGCTGGATTTGGAAGGGGTCCCACGCCACCAACCTTGCTGGGAATCAGGCAAAATGCAAATACCACCAGCAGGAGAAGGCTACTGGTCTTAGATGAGTTCAAAATGGAAAAGCGAATCAGCAGAATGTTTTACATTATGACATTCCTCTTTCTGACCTTGTGGGGTCCCTATTTGGTAGCCTGTTACTGGAGAGTTTTTGCAAGAGGGCCTGTCGTACCAGGGGGATTTCTAACAGCCGCTGTCTGGATGAGTTTTGCCCAGGCTGGAATCAATCCTTTTGTCTGCATTTTCTCCAACAGGGAGCTGAGGCGCTGTTTCAGTACAACCCTTCTTTACTGCAGAAAATCCAGGTTACCAAGGGAACCTTACTGTGTTATATGAGGGAGCATCTGTAAATCTTTAGCCTTGTAAAACACTACCCTTTCTCTGCTAAGCAATTGTGGCCTGTAGCCATGTCTTGAGAAGAAAATCAAGAATGGGAAGTCAGCAGCTATAAGGATTTGGGCAACATTCTGCAGTCTTTGCAATAGCTCACCTATAATCCTATTTGAAACCCAAATGTGTTCCTGCTGACCACGGGTGAAGGTTTGTAATTAAGAACAAAGGACTGAACCACTGCCCTGAATTCCTTTATGTGGTTGAAAGCTAGATAAGGATTGCAGATGCTAAGTATCAGTGCTAAATGCTGTGAATATCACTACATAAAATAAGACCATCAAAACGATTAGCATTGGACATCTTAATAAGTTAAGTTGACATGAGGTTAATGTGTGGATAAAACTAATTTTAGACATCTGAAGACGTTTAAAACATTTCATACAATTATTGTTTTGCAAAGACTGAAAATTGGGGACTCGTAAGTACCGTAACTAATTAAAGATGTGCCATGCATTATTGGATTATCACACTGATAAATCTGTTTGCCTTGTGAGTGAGTTTTGGGGAGCATTCCAAAGCAGTATTTTTGTTCAAATTAGACTTTACTCTTTTTTTCCAAATATATTACTCTTTCTAAATACCATTTCCTTAACAGTGAAATTACTAGCAGTCAACTGTATTCTGTGGTTTTTGCTGTTTTGGTATAAAGTTTATTGGACTCTTATTTATATTTTTGAAAAAGCTAGATATCAGTCTGTTAGGCAACGTTAGCCTAGGTAATACCCAGTCATAATGGAATGGTCATAATTATACAGAATAAACACATGTTGCCTTAAAGGGTTATCTAGTATCTTCCATTTTGTTTAGCAATGAAGCAAATAAGCAAGGAAAATTGAATCAGTAACTCTGGTCAGTCATTTGGGAGTGCATGAAAGATCACATAATCCTCTCTTTCCTTTTTACTGCTATGGTTCCCAAAATCGGTATGCACATCACTGGGATGATATGATATTTTTTCTAGGTGTGCTGCCCATTCTAGTTTGCTCTGAGAAACACTGACAGTTGATGTATGTTTATATTTTAAGACAGCTGTCATAGGGAGACCGCAGCCTTGGTATGATATCTTGCACAATTTGTGAAGCATTTATTCTACTGAAGGCACAGTCTTGTTTATACTTTCTGCACATTTTGGTGTATTGGTTGTTTTAAATTATTTAAGTTTTAACTTGTGGAAGCATATAATATGATTTCTAGTATTTTAGAAATACATTAGAGTCTGTGAGTCTTTCCTTCTTTAAGGTACAGATGTGTGGATTTCAATATAAAGTTGCATTTGCCAAAATTTACCTGTGTAGCCTGTTAATTTTCTTGGAATAAAATTTTACATTTTTTCCAGTTTTATACAGTTAACCTTTTTTATTTTGTCTAGTGAGCTAGCATGAGATTTGAGAATGTGGCCATTATGGATTATTATTCTTTGCAGTCATTGTATTCCCAAACTGTAAATGCATGAATGATGGGGACCACAGGATTGATAAATGATATTATCTACAATAGCACTGTTGTGTAGTTTATCATAATTACCCCTCTATCTATTCTAAGATGTCAGTTATATTTAAAGGTACAACACAGTATTAGACATAAACTTCACAGTTTAATTTTGGTAAGTGTATATATTTGAAGCACAACATCATGAATCTGTCAGACATAAAGAATGTTGGTTTTCTTAAGGTTTGAAAGAAAAGACTAGTGGTTTTAATTAAATATTGGTGTACTCTGTCATTGTAGTTTTATGACCAGCCGGTTAATCCAAATATAACAAACAGCAGTCAGTAACTGAAATGCTTAAGTTTGTATGATAACATTATACAGTGTGTATGCAGCAATTCAGAGAGTTGTGTCTATATATGATCAGACAACTTGATCACAGATTTTTAGTGAGCAATCTGTTTATTTGACCTCACATACACTTTATACCAAGGTTGATTGGTTGAGAGGCATAGTTTAATATACAGATTTGAAACAGAAAAATCACTACACTAATGATTCGTCATTGGTACAGGAATATTGCAGATCATAATTTGAAATGGGACCAAGAAACTTCTAGCAAAAAGGCTTTTTTATTACACTGAAAAGGGCTTTGAAATTAATATAGCTAAAAAAATTGTCTAAGATAGCAAAATGGAATAAAAAGTAAATTATATGTTGAGAAAAATTCTGGAAGCTGTCCCACTTAAGTTTACTAAGCAGTTGATTGGCAATAACTTCAGTCTGATTTCTATAAAATAGTAACCTTTACAAGGAAAATTGATATTACATATTGTAATGAAGATGTACATATACATAAAGCTGTAAATAAAGTTATAGTAGTAGATATAATAGGTTCTGACGATTAGCCAGATAGTTTTCAGGTAAGATACTTTCAAAAACTGCAGATTCAGGCCTGGGCGTGGCTGCTAAGAAAGTCAATTGGTATTTGCCCATTAATGTAATTTGGTAGCAGAAGCAGACTCCAAAATTTTTATAATGCTCTGATTCTGGAATACTAAGAAGGCTGTATTTACTGTGCAGTGGGGAAAAAACTATTTAAAATTATTTCCCTGGAAATTTTGCAGACAGTAAATGATGTAAATTAAAATAATAAACAACGAACAAGTCTGAAATCAATTTTTTTTGCTAAATATTCTTTTTTTTTTTACATTAATATGCTTCGTTATACAGTTTGATACAATTCTTTGGACTTTAGCTAAACATACACAGTTGCGTTATTACTTGACAAGAAGCCAGAACTATTTTCAAAATTACATTAGTAAGAGGTCCTATGTCAGAGCTACTTCCTTTTATTCTGTCCCATTATAAAAGAACAAGAGGACATTCAGTGAAATTAAAAGGCAACACATTAAGTTATGTTTTATGCAAGATATAATTGCTCTGTGGAACTCATTGGCACATGATGTTATTGAGGCAAACATCTTAAATACGATTTCTATGAGGATTATATGCTTACATGAATTAAAATAACATGTGCAGTTATTGTAACTCTTTTCATTTTGATCCTGGTTAATGTATCAACCTCATGCTTCAGGGTATAAATTGATGGGGCTAAGAAGATTCTCTCCATGTTACTGCACAGTTGCCTGGGTTCAGTGTGGGGGATTTTTGCTTTCCTCTGAAATTCAGGGTTTAGGCCACTGCCAGAGCCATGATAGTAGACTAGAAGAGTTACTGGTCTCTTCTGGTATAACAATTAATATCGTCCTACTGTACATCTGCATTTACCTTTTATTCTCACACATTTAACTTAAAGTTAGCCATTTGCATTTTAATCTTATTGACAAAGTAGCGGAGGAAATCAGCAGGAACAGGCTCCTTCAATCAAAGTGTCTCCAGCCCCACTCCCTTCCTCCCCTGTAATTGACCCTGTGAGCCCTTGGCAGCCTCCCTATCCACCCCATTTCCATCTACGATGTTTCATTTCCATAGTCTCTCTCTGCTCCCGTTCCTGTGCTCTTTGGGAGCATCCCACCGAGTCCTCCACCCTGCCGCCTACCCCCCTCCAAATAGTGGATTCACTTGCTGCAGCAACAGGCCCCAGCCGTCTGGATTCCCTTTCTGAAGAAGAAAATAGCAGGCAGTAGGTCCCCTGCAGCTATTGCTAGTAGCTTTCAGAGCTGTCATTTCCCATTTCCTGGCTAACAGGATCTGGTCTCTGTGCCATGGGGCTTCAGCCAAGAAGTAGGTGAAACAGAAAGGAAAAGGTTAAAATAAAAGTAACTTTTTTCCCCAAAATAAAGGAGACCATAATTATTGTTCTACTGCCCAGGAGACATCTGATTTTGTGAAGTCTTTGTTTAAAAACACGTTAAGTGGATAAAAACATCCAGCTAGCAAATGAAAGCAACATTTTGTACAACTACAAAATATTCTTATAAAACATCTTTCAATCAATCTTTAGACCTGGAGGGCATAGGAGACCCTTTGAAGTGTGTTATGTTTGTTCACTTGCATTGTCTTTGCTCTGCCTTTTATGCATAAGAACATTTACTTTTATTAATGCAAGTCCACTGCTGGAGCAGCATGTTATTACTGATGAGTAAAGAAGCTAGTTCGATGACTTTCGCAGAGGTGAATTAGAATGTGTACTTTGACTAGAACATTTGTTTTTTATAAATAACTAAAAGTTTTGGGTTATCAAGCCATTACATAGTTATACAATTTTACATACCACGTAGTGAACTTCCTTCTAATTTATATTCATTGAGCACTATTTAAGTGCATGTTACAGCACTCCTCTAATTGACTTTTCAGAGGAAGAGGGAGGATGTTCATCCTAAGATATTGTTCTCCGTGAGTACAAGTCAGTATAAAATCCTTTCCTACTAATTATTGAAGTGACTTTCAGTGAGAAGAGTTCAGTGTGCTCAATTTGATGAGTAAGGGTCATAAATTGCCCTCCACTGATGGGATGATATGGCACTGTGCAATGCATATCCCAATCCCAAATCAAATACACCTCCACCCTGATATAACGCTGTCCTCGGTAGCCAAAAAATCTTACCGCGTTATGTCGACCTTGCTTTGATCCGCCGGAGCGCGCAGCCCCGCCCCCCCGGAGTGCTGCTTTACTGCGTTATATTCGAATTCGTGTTATATCGGGTCGCGTTATATCAGGGTAGAGGCGTAGCTTGTATAATAGACAATGATTTTCCTAGAATGACCTGGAAGTACCTCTGTGCTTTATATGCAAAGAAAGGAAGCTTCTGGGCCACAGAGAGTCTTTGGCTAGCTAACATAGAGAAAGCATGTGTGTATGTTAGAGATTTAGCTAAATGGTATCAGTATGTAAAAAGATGTTCACCAAAGAAGTGATGCAGTAAAGAACGTGGATCTTTCTTTATTGTCTAAACAGGAAAGCATGGTCTTATAGTAAAAACAATATTTAACCTTTTGAAATTAAATATATCTGGTTATCCATGTAATGCATACGATTGAAATACACCTATTAACAGAAATAATAATGATCAAGATTTTCAAAAGTCACTAGTGGTTTTGGGTGCCTGACATGAGACACCTTCAATGCGCCTTGTTTTTAGAGGGAGGGTTGGAGGGGAGGGTCTGAATCTACTGAAGTCAAAACCTGTATAAATATTAGGCAACCTTCTGTCTCAAGAGATTGTGCCTAAGTATCCCCAAATGAAGTCAGTAAACTTCTGTTCCACCTTTGTTAGGAGGCCACTTTTGTTAAGCAACCAAATCTTGCTGATCCCTTCACTGGTTGCTTAAAACAGATTTCACTTTAATGTGATATCTAAAAATCCTGAGTATGAAATAATATACTTGACTTTCTACTGTTGTGTAACCATTTTGTTGCATTGTTATATTTAAAATCTAAGTCAGACAGCAAAGCTAATGACTGAAGAAAGGAGTGAACCATTGATAGTATAAAAACACATCCTTCATGCAATCTCATCTCCCCACTCCCTCTCTCATTTTAAATGAATGTCAGAGTTACACATTTAAGATCAGCTCATACATTCTGTATTCAAGCAAAAATCCTATTGAAGTTATAACAGTTTTACTTCAGTGAGGAATGCAGGTTTAGGCTTTGAAAATATATTAAAAATAGTCGGAAATGCATAATGCACAAGCTCAGATTCTCATTGCAATGAAAAATATGTTAACTCAGTCAGATTACATGTTCTGTATATTAAAGCATGCATTTAAAAGCCTAGCAATCCCAACTACCATGTACCAGCATGTATGTGCTGTATGGGAATTTAATGTTGTTATGAGAATCGTATGTATTTTCTGACTCTTTATTTTAACCTTGCAAATTCAGGGCTTGCTAGTGCGAATAGTCAAAGAGGATTGTTCACAATAAAAAGCACTACATTAGTGAGTGTTAGCAGGTCAGTCCCTTAAAATGGACACCGATTGAGGCTGCCCTGGCACGTGTGCAAGAGGGGGAATAGGGCAAGGAAGATTTCACCTACACCCTCATCCCTTGTGCAATGGCCAGCCACAATCCTAATCCTTGTGTTCCCCTGATGAAATTCATTCCTATGCAGAAGGCCAGCACAAGGCCTGTGCCCCAACATAAACCCTGTTTTGAGGGATTTACGAGGAGCATAAGTCTGGATATGGGTGAATGCTAATCTCTCCACAAAGCAACATCAGCTCACCCCCCCACCACCCACCCACCCACCACCACACACACACACACACACACACACACACACACTTTCTTTTAGAAGGGGAAACTTATCTCAGCCTGTGATGATATATTCAGCAGTCTGTTGAAAAGTTGAAGAGTGGATGTTTTGTGTGCTCTTGTATCCTTGAAAGTGCTGGAGAGGACTGCCATCTTCACCGCCCAGCCCAGCCCAGCCCAGCCCAGCCCAGCCCAGCACCACCTGAGCAGCAACTATATTTGTATTTGCTTTTACATCTTTTGCGTGTGTGTGTGAGAGGTAGATGGTTTGCCTTTTTGTTTTGTTTTATAAAGAGTAAAAATATGTATATCTATGGCACTAACTCTCGGGGTATGTGGTGGTGTTGCATTTGCACATTTCTGTAAACTTCTGCTCTCTTACATACACACAAACCCTACTTCTGAGACAATGGTATTGTGCCTTTCCTTACCTCACAGGCCATTCCCTGTGAGGGCTCCTCAGCTTTGGGAGGACTCTGGTAGGAGAGCATAAAAATCAGAAATACATACTTAGCTGCTGGGTTATGTTTTATGGTAATTACTGGGTGGGGCACCCAGAGTAGTCTGTTTGGTTCACTGTAATTTAATAATCAGTCAAAGGACACCTAGAGCTCCTTTTGATGGAATGAGTAGATACAATGAAAAGTAAACACCAAAAAGAAAAAAATTCCATAGGTTTTCAAATTACGCACTCTGATATAACTGCAGCACTATGGCCATAACATAACGACCAAGCTAATAAAACAAAGTTTCACTGAGACGTAATTGCTTGCAACTTTTGTTTCCAATTCTGTACTTGCTACTCAGTACAGAATGCAAGATCTTTGTTATTTCAAAATAAATAAAATTGTTCAGGCTTTCCAATCAACTAGTCCTCAGTGAGGGCCAGCCACAGAAGGACTTTAAAAGTTCAGCCATTTCTTAATTTATTTTTGTGCAAAGACAGGCTGTTGATTTGTATTCAGAGTGTAGTGTGTGTGTGTGTGTGTGTGTGTGTGTGTGTGTGTGTGTGTGTGTGTGTGTGTGTGTGTGTGTGTGTGTGTGTGTACACGTACACAAACAGCTAAATGGACTTAGCTCAAACTTTCCAAAATAATTCAGTTTAGCTGAGACCAAGCATGGAAGGTTTGAGTCCAAAAGGAGGACATATTATGAGCAAGTAAAAACAGTTGTAATGAAAGGTGAGGGACAAGCTTACCTATAGCTTGTTAATGTCTAATCTGTAAGTGATATTTTCAGGCTCTATTGTGAGCCCTCCTGCTCCCCTAACTGGATGCCTAAGTGGGTGTAAGGACTACTTGCATTGCCAGAGGCTACGAGTGGGGTGCAGGGAATGGCACCATCTAGCTGTTCTTCCCCGTCCTGCACAGGTGTGTGGGGAATGGCTGATCACAGGGGGAAGCAGAAATTACACTCTGCTTCCTGCTTTGTTTCTTGCTAAGCCATGCCATC